TCAGCCTCTCCCTAAAGCTCTGACTCCAGCTACATTCTTGTAAATCTTTTATCTTGAAAAAAGAGAGGGCTGACTTAGTAGAGGTGTTTAACATTACAAGATAGTTTGATACAGAGGATGCAAACAGGATGTTTTCTCTTGTGGGAAAGATCATAACTAGAAACCACCAAACAAGATAGGCACAAAAAAAAATCCAACAGGGAGTTCAGAGGAAAATTGTTCTGCCAAAGAGTGGTGAGAATGTGGAGCTCACACCACATTGAGTGATTAAAGTGAATAGGTTTGATGTGTTTCAGGGAAAGCTAGACAAGCAAAAGGTTTATGATGATAAATTTAAATGGGGAGGAAGCTTGTTTGTAGAATAAAGACCAGCAATGACTGGTTATGCCAGATAGCCTGTTTCTGTCTCATGGATGCAATCTATTAACACTCCTGGATGGTCTGGCTGTAATCTATAGACTCTGCCATCTACTTATGTACTTTCCAAGTCAGTGAAAATAACTATTATTTACCATCAGTTTCCCTGAATGTGTTTGATTCTGCTGTTGCTACCACTGTCAATCACATCCAGGATTGAACTATGTTCATTGTGGCAGCTGCGTTTATTTCTGCTGATGTTAATGATTCCTGAAACTAGCCTGGTGTTTAATATTTTGATGTCTGCTAAATAAATTAGCTCTGTTTCAGATAAGAAATCTATCGAGTCCTTGATTTCACAAGGACAAAAGGAGACTAATGGATCAAAAACAAATTTCTGGAAAAGCTCAGCAAATCTGTAAGGAGAAATCAGCATTAACATTTTGGGTCTAGTTACCCTTTCTCAGAACTGATCATAGTTAAGAAAAAGTTGTTTTGTATGCAGAAGATATGGTGGGGGATGGGGTAAGGAGTAAATGGTAGGTGGAGATAGAGCCCAAAGAGAGGCAAGAACAGTTGGACAGACAAAACGAGTGGCTAATGATCAGCCTAGGAGAATGAAAAACTATTAATGGGAACAATTAGTGGCTAATGATGGGCTCTTTGTGGTAGCAGACCATGTGATAACAAGGCCTGATGTTTGGCGTTTGGAGTAAGGACATGGGAGAAGATGCCTCAAACTCTAAATTGTTGAATTCAATATTGAGTCCAGAAGGATGTAAAGTTTTCAAGCAGAAAATGAGGTGTTGTTCTTCCGGCTTTTGCTGAGCTTCACTGGAGCACTGCAGAAAGCCTGAGACAGAGATGTTGGTTAGGGAACAGGATGGTGAGTTGAAGTGGCTGACAACTGGAAGCTCAGTGTATTTTTGCAGGCAGAGCGTAGGTGTTCTGCGAGCAGTCACCCAGTCTATGCTACATTTCCTCAATGTAGAGGAGACCATATTGTGAGCAGCGAATGCAGTATACAGACATAGAGCTGTACAACACGGAAACAGACCCTTTAATCCAACTCATCCATGCCGACTGGATATCCTAAATTAATCTAATCCCATTTGCCAGCATTTGGCCCATTATCCCTCTTAAACCCTTCCTATTCATGTACCCACCCAGGTGCTTTTTAAATGTTGTACTTGTACTGGCGTCCACCGTTTCCTCTGGCAGCTTGTTACTCTTTTAATTCTTTCTCCTCTCACCTTAAACCTATGCCCTCTAGTTTTGGATTCCCTACCCTGGGAAGAAGACTTTGGCTATTTACCCTATCCATGCCCTTCATGATTTCATAGTCCACTATAAGGTCACCCCTTAGCCTCCAACTTTGCAGGGCAAACCGGGGCAATATCCTTGTAAATCTTCAGCCATTTCTTGATATTGTATGGATTCAGTTGAATTCGTTGTTAACAGGCATCTGTGGAGTAGACTAGATTGAGTGAAGTGCATGTAAAGCACAGCTTCACCTGGAAGGTGCGTTCGGGCCCTTGGATACTGAGGACGGAAGAAGTAAACAGGCAAGTGTTACACCTTCTGTGGTTGCATAGGAAGGTGCCAAGGGGCTGTTGGGGGTGCGGGGGAATGTTGGAAGTGAAGGAGGCGTGCACCATGGTGTCCCAGAGGGAACGGTCCTTGTGTAAGGCTGACAGGATACGGCAAGGGAATATATGTCTGGTGGTCTGAAAGTGGCAGATATGTGGCTAATGATCCTCTGGATGTTGATGCTGGTGGGAAAGTCGGTGAGGACAAGGGGGTCCGCATTGCTGTTTTGTAAGGGAAGAGAGGGTGTTAGGGCTGAAGTGCGGGAGATGTGTCAAACTCAGCTGAGAGCCCTGTCAACTATGGTACTGGGGAGTCCCTGGTTGAGGAAGAAGGTGGATATTTCAGAGGTCCACTTATTGACATCATCAGAACAGATGCAAGAGAGATGGAGGAATTGGAAGAATGGAATACAGTCTTTACAGGAAGCAGGGTGTGAGGATCCACAGTCAAGGTACCTGTGAGAGTTGCGTGGTTTATAATGGATATTTGTGACTCGCCTATCCCTAGAAATGGAAATAGGGATATTGAGGAAGGGAAGGGAGGAGTCAAAGACGGATCAGGGGAAGGTGAGAGCAGGGTAGAAATTGGAAGCGAAATCGATAAACATTTCCAATTCCAGATAAGAGAGGGAAGCAGCGCTGATAATGTCATTGATATACTGGTGAAACACAGTCTGACCACGTGCTGCATAAAACCTGACATCCACTCAACGAGGCCCCATGTTTCCTGGAACAACATGAAGTGTCTACTCTCTTCCTTTCCCTTTGATGTTATCTTCAGATGGTGCCTGCCCGGTCATTCCTTTAAGTCAGCCCTTAAATTGTTTGTAACGTGCACTTTACATCATTGTTTGTATGTGCAGATGACATCATGTTCCCCCATTTCAGTAACTGCAATGTTACGCAATGTGTTGAACCATTCAACAGACCCTCCAATTTATGCTCGTAAAACATTACTTTCTAATTTCACGGTTCGATTCTCCGGCTCCAGTTAGTACCCCATAACTAAAACAAAACTAAATCACGACCGATAAGAAACAAAACCGCCAATGGCGGAGATAATAGCCAGCAGTGTTCGCGATGGTGAACGTGCCCTAGTCACACAATTGGAAAGCGGTGCGCAGGCGCTCTAGCTAAGCATGTGCAGAATGGGCAATAGTAATAGGTCTTTGTTTTAGCAACCAGCAAGAATATGGCAGGGTGGAGGAACGATGAATTCAGTGGGTGGTCGGATATGATTCGTAAACGTGTTTTGTAAGTCTCTCTCTAACCCCAGTAAGGAATTTATTTCCCCCTGTACTCGCGTACATAGAAAGGGGCATTAACTACCAGCATCGGTCCACTGTTGACGGCTGCCATCTTTGTTAGGGGCCATGATGGGTGGGCGCCTTCTCAACCGTCATCTTCGTAGCGGGCGATGTTCTCAATGAGTGGGAGCATCATGAACAATATAGTTCAGAATGGCCACAGCTTGTCTATATCAAACTGATAAAGCCTCGTGTATTATTGCTGAGGTAGCGCTGCAATACATAAGGAAGGAAAAGGACGCAAATCCTGCACTCCAGTTCCCTCTACCCGAGGTCTGTCCTGCTTCACGTATTCAAAGATCTACAGCTGTGACTGTTCAGTCACATGAACGGCGACGGCGTGTAAATGTCTTCTGCAGGGTATTTACAGAGGATTTGAAGACAGGAAACTCAAACCACACAGCACATCGAAATTAACAGTGTCACTGTATTCATCGCAACCTGGATATTATCCACCTTTGAGTGTAAACATTAAGTTCCTAGTCGTAAGCGCTCACACTATCAAACCTCTTCCTCACTTTCCACCGTAAAGCTCTGTCCTGTAATCCTTTTATGATTAGGTAATGGGAAGAACATTCGTCATTTGCTTTATACTGAACTATCAAAGTTGTACAAATTTCCCGCTCAATTTCCTTTTTTCTCCAACTTGATAAAATCTTGCAAATAATATTTTTCATCCCTCGAACCATAAACATTGGTGGTGATGGTGTGAGCCTGTGATTGAAAACTCAAACAGAGCAGAAGTTGCTGGAAAAGCTCAGCAGATCTGGCACAACTGTGAAGTGAAAACAGAGTTAACGTTTCGGGTCCGGTGACACTTCCTCAGTATCCTCAGAATGTTAACTCTGGTTTCTCTTCACAGATGCTGCCAGACCAGCTGAGCTTTGTGAGCAACTTCTGTTTTTGTTTCTGATTTACAGCATCTGCAGTTCTTTTGGTTGTTATTGAAAACTCATTTTAGGGTAAAATATTTTGCTGGACTGTGAATAGTGTAATTAAGCCTCAAGTAGATACCAGGGAGAGTCAGTGATGAGGGAGTGGAGTTCGTAGTGGGGCCTGAAGACAATGGCTTAATTCTTCATAATATTTTTGTTCGTGCTGTACTGGACGTCACACGGGCCTGTACAATATGTGATTTTAAGGTAAATTTGGTGGTGATAGAGTTAATATAAACCTGGCGTCTTTGTCCTTCTAGGAGTTTCAGAATTTGGTATGTAAAAGCACTCTCGTTCACCCCCTGCTATTCCCAATTCTCTCTGACTCTTTCCGTCTCCACCCATTGACGCGAAAATCTTCTGTGCGTCCAGACCAAGTGATAGGGATCCTTGCTTGAAGGACATTCATGGATCAGTCGGTTTTTTTTACTATAATTGCGCCGACGTTTACGTGTCACATTTCTGAGTTTTTTTTTTCAGAAATTACCACATTTACAACATTTAATCAGCTCAATTTAACATTCTTTTTGGTTAAACAAACAGGAGACTGGAAGAACGCAGCAAGCCAGGCAGTATCTGGAGGAAAGGAGCAGCCAACGTTTTGGGTATAACCCTTCTTCAGGACTGAGAGAAGGGTTATGCCCGAAATGTTGACTGCTGCTTTCCTCCAAATGCTGCCTGGTTTGCGTGTTCTTCCAGCTTCCTGTTTGTCTACCTTGGATTCCAGCATCTGCAGTTTTTTTTGTCTCTTAACAATCTTTTTGTGGGCTCTCTCTCATTCTCTTTTTTTCTGCTTTCAATCAATTTCACAGGACATTAGAAGAGGATGATTTGCAATTAGGAAACTCAAACTAAACATCACAATGGGATTTGATGGAACCTTCTATTTTCTGGTAACCTAAATATCATTGCACTTTGAACATGGAACGAAAGAGCACCATTCGCACTGGGGAGAAACTGTATGTATGTTCTGTGTGTGGACGAGGCTTTAGCCGGTCATCTGGTTTGTCCAGACACAAGTGCAGTCATACTGGGGAGAACTCATGGAAATGTGAGGACTGTGGGAAGGGGTTCAATTACCCATCTGACTTAGAAACTCATCAGTGCAGTCATACTGGGGAGAAACCGTTCACCTGTCCTCAGTGGGGTAAGGGCTTCACTCAGTCATCAACCCTCCTCAAACATCAGCGTGATCACAATGGCCATAAGCCATTCACCTGTCCTGAGTGTGGGAAGAGATTTACTCAGTTTTCCAACTTCTTGGGTCATCAGAGAACTCACACTGGGGAGAGGCCGTTCATCTGCACAGAGTGTGGGAAGAGATTCACTCAGTCATCCCACCTGATGGCACACCAGCGAGTTCACACTGGGAACAGGCCTTTCACCTGCTCCAAATGTGGGAAGAGAAGCTCTCAGTTATCAGATCTGCTGAAACACCAGCGTGTTCACACCGGCGAGAGACCATTCACCTGCTCTGAGTGCGGAAAGGGATTCACTCAGTCATCCCACTTGCTGAAACACCAACGAGTTCACAGTGACGAAAGACGATTTGAATGCCCGCACTGTGGGAAGCGTTTTAAAAGTTCTGTGGAATTGATGTCCCATCAACGGGTTCACAGTGATGAGAGACCTTTTAAATGCCAAGACTGCGAGAAGTGCTTTAAAACCTCTGGGGAACTGGTAACCCATCAACGTGTTCACACTGATGAGAGACCATTCAGGTGCTCTCACTGCAGGACTGGGTTCAGAAAATCATCTCAACTCAGTGTACACCAGCGAATTCACACTGGGGAGAGGCCGCTTAGTTGCTCCAATTGTGGGAAGAGATTTAATCATTTGTCAAATCTACTAAAACACAAGCGTATTCACACTGGGGAAAAGCCATTTTCCTGCTCTGAATGTGGGAAAGGATTCACTCAGTCATCCCATCTGTTGAGGCATAAGCAAGTTCACAAGTAACTAGAATGATTGGGTTTGGCTGTTAATCACATACAGGACTGAACCATGTTAATTGGGGTGAATTTCTGTGGATGTTCAATAGTTCTAGGTGTTCATGTTCTGGATAAAGTGAAATAAATTAGTTTTTGTGTGAAACATATGGATGTTTAGTCTTTTTAATATCTCTGGAACTAGTAATTAATTGTTGAAGGACTCTCCGTCTCCCCTTCCGCTATCCTCACATCCACCAACAAGAGCTTCTTTGTTACCAAGGTTGAGACAATCTGATCAGCTGCTTTTGCCCCTTCCCTCCCCTCCACTAGCCACTGGGTCAAACTGTCTCTGAAGTTCCTTTTCATCCAAGTCCTTACCTTGCATCTTTCTTCAGTTTCTGTCCTGTCTCCTATCTTGTCTTGTCCTGTCCTGTCAGAGCTCATCTTGTTCATGAGATCCATCTCCAGTTCAGTTGGTCTTATTCCCACTAAACTGCCAACCATCAAGTTTCTCAAGTTCACTGTTATTTTTAATCGTCCTCTCTGTCTGTATTGTTTCTGTCCTCCCTCCTTTGGATCCACTGTCATCACCCGTCCTCAAAAATATAACCCTGAACCCTAACTTCCTTGCAAATTGCTGCCCAATCTCCAGCCTTCCTTTCCTTTCCTTGGACTTAACGATCCCCAAGGATCTATCCTTGGCTCCTCTTATTTCTTTCCACAAGGCGGCATCAACCAAAAGCACTATATAGTTTTCATGTGAAGATCTACACCACCCAGTTCTACCTCACCATCATCCTTCTCAATTCCTCTACTGTTGTTAAATTATCAGATTGTTCATCTTACATCTAGTACCGGATGAGCAGAAATTTCCTCTGATTGAAAATCGAGAAGACCAAGCCATTATCTTTGATTGCCACTGCAAATTCCATTCCCTAACTACTGAGTCCACCCCTTTCCCTGGGAACTGTTTGAGGTTGGACAACACTGTTCAGTGTTGGTGCCATGTTTGAGCCCAAAATGCACTTTTCACTGTACTCCTGTACACGTGACAATAAAAGGTAATTCTAATTCTAAGATGAGTTTCCGAACGTTACTTCACGTCATCATTAACACTATAAGAAATAGGAACAGAAGTAGGCCATTCAGCACAGTGAGATTTACCAGAATGTTGCCGGAAATGAAGGGTTTGAGTTATTGGGAGAATCTGGATAGGCTGGGACTTTTCTCACTGGAGCTTAAGAGATTGAGGGGTGAAGATAGAGGTTTGTAAAATCACAGGGGACATAGCTAAGTTGAATGGCTGGTGTCTTTTCTTTAGGGTGGAGGATTTCAAGACCAGGGGCATATTTTTAAGGTGAGAGGAGAAAATTTAAAAAAGACATGAGGGGCTTTTTATTTTAAACAAAGTCGTTCGTGTGTGGAATGAACTTGCAGAGAAAGTGGTGGATCTGAGTACAGTTAATGTTTAAAAGACTTTTGAATAAGTACTTGGATAAGAAATGTTTGCAGGGATATGGGCCAAGTACAGGCAGGTGGGACTAATTTAGTTTGGGATTATGTTTGGCATGAATTGTTGGATGGAAGGGTCTGATTCCATGCAATATGATTCTGAGTGTGCTGTCCCATTCAATGAGATCACAGCTGATCTGATAATCCTCAACTCTACTTTCCTGTCTTTACCCTATAAGTTTTGATTCCCTTATTGATTTAAAAACTGCCTATTTCAGCCTTGAATATACATAATGAGTGAGCCCGTACAGCCCTTTGCAGTAAAATTCCATAAATTCACTTGATTCTGAAAGAAAAAACACCTCCTTATCTCTGTCTTAAAAGGCTGTCTTATTTGGAGATTATGACCTCTGGTCCTAGACTCTCCAACAAGGGGAAAAAAACCTTTCCCCCAACCACCTTGTCAAGTCTGCTAAGAATCCCATATATTTCAGTTATGTCACCTCTCATATTTCTAAACTCCAATGAGTACAAGTCCAATCTCCTCAACTCTCTTCCTAAGATAGTCCCTCCACACCCAGGATCAATCAAGTGCATCTTCTCTGGACTGCTTTCAATGCCAGTGTATCTTTCTTTGAATAAGAGGTTCAAACTGTTCACAATATTCTATCTGTGGTCTGACTATTGCCTTGTAGTTTTAGCAAAACCTCCCCACTTGTTTACTCCATTCCCTTTGAAATAAAGGCCAACATTCCTTTTGCCTTCCCTATTACCTACTGAAGTTTTCGTGATTTATGGCATGAGGACTCTTACATCCCTCTGTGCTGTAGCTTCCTGCAGTGTTTCTCCATTTAAATATTAAAACATTTCAATCACTACAATATATATTATGTCTACATTAGGGGACAGACAGGTGTTTATGTGGCTGTAAGTGTGACTCTAGGATGGTATGGATGGTGCCAGGGTCAAGGATGTCTCAGAGCAGCTACACCGCATTCTTTTAGGGCAGGATGAACAGATAGAGGTTGTGGTCCATGTTGGTACCAATGAGTTGGGTAGGAAGGAGGAGTACAGAAATAAGAGGATGAGGAAGATGATTGCATGGTCAGAAAGATGGCACAGGAGGGAGGGTTTAGATTCCTGGGACACTGGGACTGGCTTTGAGGATGATGGCACCTGCACAAGCCAGATCAGTTGCATCTGAACAGAGGTAGGACTGAGTTCCTTGCAGGTTATTTTAGAAAGTGCTATCTGGAAGGCTTTAAAGTGACTTGGCAGGGGTGAGGGAACTAAGGAAGAATAGTAGAGGAGAAGACTAGAGTTCACAAAATACTTAGAGATGGAACTGGCACTAGAATCAATAATAGCAAGTTCATAGGTGAAGTCAGAATAAGAAAGAAAGAAATTAAGTTTAAATCAGGGTTTCTGTGCATGTATGTGAATACATATTGGTTTAGTATGGCAACTACTCAGCCCAGGACCGTAAGAAATTACAGAGAATTGTGAACACATCCCAGTCCTTCACGCAAGCCAACCTTTCATCCATTGACTCCATGTACACTTCTCGCTGCCTCAGGAAGGCAACCAACATCATTAAAGACCCCTCCCAGCCTGGTTATAATCACTTCCAACCTCTTCTGTCAGGAAGAAGATACAAAAGCTTAAACACATGTACCAGCAGGTTTAAGAACAGCTTATTCCCCACTTCTGAATGGACTTCTTAAATATCAAATCTAACGTTGATCTTGCTTTCTGTGCACCTTCTTCGTGGCTGTAACTTTGTATTCCTCAGTCTGTTCAATCATCCTACGATTTTTGTGTGATATGATCTGTCTGCACTGCTCGCAAAACAATGCTTTTCACTGTACCTAGGTACATGTGACAATAATAAATCAAATCAATAGAGTATAGTAAGAAAAAATTGGGGAGTTACAGGTGCAGATTGCCATGTGAAAGTTTGACATTGTGGTGATAACATAGACCTGGCCCAAAGAACGGCAAGACTGGGTGTTAAATATTGCTGGCTTCAACGTATTCAGAACAGATAGAAAAGCAAGGAAAGGAAGATATGTCACAGTATTGGTTAAGGATGGCATTATTGTGCTCAAGAAAGAGAGTGTCAAAGAGGGTCCAATAACAGAATCAATTTGGCTAGAACTAAGGAATCAAAAGGGTACAATTACATTGCCTGGTGTAGTCTAGAGACCACCAACTAATGGAAAGGATGTAGAAGAACAATTTTGCAGGGAAATTACAGAGAGATGCCAACATTATAGAATAGTTTAAAGTTTTTGAGAAGATTTGTATCTCGAGTTGTGAATGAGGTTGTAGACTTGCTTGCAGTCCATGCATGGTATTTTGTATATTACATTAGTTTTATTGGTTGTGGGTATGAGATTGTTCGTCAGTAGCTGTCACAGGGCAGTTGTTGGTTTGAGTGGTCTTGTGGTCATCTCTGATATGCCTCTGAAGTACAGCAGGGTGACTAATGTGTCTTACCATGTTGTGTCTTCTTCTTGTGGTCTGTCGTGGAGGTAACAGCAAATTGTGCTTTTTGGGTATCCATTCCTTTTAAAACCTTGTAAAAGTGCTACTGTTCTGCTCTGCACAACTTTGGGTTGTGAGAAACATTACATAGGCCAAACTGGAAGAAAACTGACAATAAGGATACACAAACACCAACTAGCCACCAAGAGACATGACCAATTCTCACTGGTCTCAATACACACAGACAAAGAAGGACACAAATTCGACTGGGACAACACATCCATAATAGCACAAGCCAAACAGAGACATGCCAGGGAATTCCTAGAGGCCTGGCATTCCAACTAGAACTCCATTAGCACACACATTGAACCGGGCCCGATATGCAAACCACTGAAAAACAGAATCGGAAGTGATGCCAACCACCCCAGCAAACTGAGGCATATAAATAACAAGTGGGACAGAACACCGACACTTCACCGGAGGTGCACTGACAATGTTACCTAGCAGAGTGACGAAACTTCTGCAATCAAACATACTGGTTCAGTGAGCAAGTCTAAAACTTTATTATAGAGTAGTTATAACAGGAGATTTCAATTACCCAAACATAGAATGGAATGCCTGTAGTGTACAAGGCAGTGAGGGGAACGGGATCCTGGATTGTATGCAGGAGACATTCCTACAGCAGTATGTTTCCACTCCGACAAGAAAGGATGCACTATTGGACCTGGTTCTTGGAAATGAGCTGGACCAAGTGGGTTAAATGTCCATTAGGGAGAATTTAAGAGACAGTGAACATAAGGTTCAGAATGGCATTGGAGAATGACATGCAACAATCCAGGGAAAGATAAAATCAACTGCAGAGAACTGACTTCACTGGGCTAAGAACAGAGTCGGCCAGCATTGACAAAATGTTTGATGAAGAAACTAACTGAAGAAAGGGCTATCTTCATAAAGAAGATGGTTTGGGTACAGTCAAGCGATATTCCCTCAATCAGAAAGGTAGAACAAACAAATCCAGAGCTCCCTGGATGACAAATGAGATAGAAATTAAGATAAAGAAGCAAAGTGTGCTTATGAAAAGTGTC